AATGCGTTCCTCTGCAAACATAATTTTGGTAGAATTAATTCGTAACTTTGGTAAAGATAATTGCTCGTACCTCTGGTAAACATAATTTTGGTAGAATTAATTCATTACTCTGGTAAACATAATTTTGGTAAATTAATTCGTAACTCTGATGATGGTGTGATTAGGGTTGAAAATTACATTTTACAATCTTACATTTTCATGTAATTTTGTGTAATTTTGCGAGTTTTACTAATTACATGGAAACCGTTTTACTAAATACACAAAATTACGCAAAATTACATAAAATTACGGTAATTTTACAACCCTAGGTGTGATTAATTAGTAACTCTGGTAAACATAATTTTGGTAAAATTAATTCGTAACTCTTATATAAAATAAAAAATATTATATTTTAAGAAAATATTAAGTTTAAATATAACGGAAGATTTATAATTAAATTTTGCAAAATTTAAGAAAATTTGACAATTGCATTTCATAATATATGATTTTCACCAGGACAATTAAGTACTTTTTTTTTTTAAATCATGATCATCGGGCGTTCTTTTGTACATAATGAATTAATTATGATATAGTAAAATTAGTAAAATGTCACTTTTTATTGGAACAAAGGAAGTAAAAGGGTTCACCATTGATGAGCTCTTTGTTTGTGCTGAGTCTTCCTCAAACATAAATAAAGTTATGAGAAAAGAACGCTCACGTCGACAAAAAATAAATGAGTTTCTTACCTGGGTTCATATAAATTTAGATATTGATATCACTGCACTTGAGGGTGCTCACAACTATGATGAACAAAAAGTATACGAATATCTTTTGAAGAACGGTGAACTGGTGAAAAAAGGGAACGATGCTCATGCAAGGCAAACAAAAGCACGAATGTCAGCCGGGGGGGTGAGTTGTTATTCAATTTTAATGCTTATTTAACATGATGTGTTTGATTAATTTATTTTTACTTGCTATCAGAGTAATTGGATTGCTGCTTCAGTACGACGAGCTATAAGGCTCTTTTAAATACATACAACTAAATGTACAAATATGTAATTATTGAACTAATAAATGTAGTTTACTATATACAAAACTATCTACACATAGTTTTGGTTTTGGTAAAC